CAGGCTTTTCCCAAGATGTCTGAAGTAGGTTTTTCCCAATCCATATTAGCTTGGTATGTGAACAAAGGTTCACATACTTTTGTTAATTGAGGTCCTGTGGGCCTAGGGAGAAACTGTCATAACCTTAAAGAATGTAGATTATTTATACTTAGGAGCATCTGATAAAATAACCAGTTCATCAAAGAAATGTTTCTTAAGGCAGGGCAAGTCTTTAGAAGCAAGGAACCAAGGTGCCTGGCCCACGGAGGGGAGACTGTATAAAGTCATTCCCGCCCTGTCGTGTGACCACCCGCTCCCTTACCCCCAATGCCCAGGCCTCTTAGTTCAGGATATAAACCCCAGCTTGTTCCATTCATCAATTCTTTAGAATCCTTCATGTTAGGCCAGCCCAGGCAGCGAGGGGGGCCAGGAGGGCTCCCTGACCTTGGCCTGCTGATAGCATCCAGGAGGAGGCAGATGGCAAGAACACAGGGCTCTGCCCACATTCCTGTTGATGCAGACTGAGGATTGCCTGGGCCTTGATTTCCTCATCTGTACATTCCACCTTGACTGTTGTGAGCTACAACCCTCCCTCCCTCTAATACCCTCTGCTACAAATTCTCTCTCTGCACTCCCTTGACGGCCCTTCCGGCAACTGGCCCCAGAAACCTCTCTTCTCTAAGACCTCTTGTGTGGGCTCCTTTTGGCAACACCTTACACTTTAGAATCTACTGCCTTGTAAATTCTCCACATATGTTGTTAAATTTGGTCTTTTCTCCTACTGATCTGTCTGATGTGAACCATTTGCTTGTGCAGCCCAAGAAGAACCCAGAGGGGTGGGGACATTTTACCCTGGACCCTGTCAGACTCTATAAGGGCGCACTGGCCAATGCGCACAGAAAGCCAGTAACTAGGCTACTGGCTTTGGAGAAGAGTTTACTGCAAGGTCATCTTACAAGGAGACCAGAAGCAAGGCTCAAATGCTCCTTGAGTGTGGAACTTTGGACACATGTAAGGAATGTCTACACCTTTATACAAAGGTATAGAAAAATGCAGTTTGGCAGAGTCTGTTTGTGTTCTGCTGGATCATGACATAACTAGAATTTAGGTTCATAACTGCAACAAAGCTGAGTGCCCCCTGCTTCTAACTTTAACCATGAGCTGGGCACCTTGTTCATTTTCCTAGGGCAGTTCTTATTCTGGGCAGTTGAAAGGGCACCTCCAGAAAACCAAATGCTTTTCTGAGCCTGCACTCTGAAACACGACTTGTCGACTTACAAAAAAAAAAATTCCCTTTAAGCTGAGTTTTGTCCCATTGTTTTCATCTAATTATACAATTTATGGTCAAGCCCTGCTGTTCTTCAAGATAAGCAGAAACAGAAAGAAAGCTGACACAGGAGAGCGGTGAGACGGCAAGAGCATCACGGAGCCTCCACTCACCAGCACTTAGGGGTCGCTTGCAGAGTCGGAAGAAACACCCAGGCAGAGATGCTCCTTGTCAACATCCCCAACCTCACATCCCTAAAGTTTCCGTTATCATGTAGGGAGAAAGAGGAACAAGAGCAAACATAAAATATAAATTGGGTTTAGATCTTGCAGAGAGCATTTCACCCCAAAACACAGACTTGGAAATATAAGAACAGAGAAAAGAGGAATTAGGGGATTTAAAGACAGCAACAAGATACAGTTGGTGTTTTGAGGGCCCTGACTCCACACTCTCTAAGTATATTTTGTGAGTTTACTGCTCTTAGCAGCTCTGGAAACTTAGCAGTCATGTGATGCCATGCAGAGTAATGCAGAAAGCAACTGGGTCCCTCATAAGAAGCTTCTGGCCCAAAGATAATTACAGAGACCTCCATCTAATGTGTAAATATTAAAGGTAAAAAAGCAGATTTTACTTTGTTCCTCAAGCATGCATTATGTTAACCAAATTAACACGGGCTTTCCTTGGTCTGCTCCTGACCCTTGGACTTTTATCAGTTTAAGACCCTGAGTTTAGCAGTTTATCCTACTGAACCCCTAATACCCCTAATTAACAGCCTTTATACACACACACACACACACACACACACACACACACATCAAATAAACCCTCTGGGTCAGTCTTTATCCCTTGCACAAGTATTTCTCTTTCCCCACTGGCCCTTTTCAATTCCACACGATAAGGTTTCTTGGTCAGTCTGAATCCCCAGCAGTGCCAGGTGCTGGCGCAGGCCTAGCATATAGTCAGCACCCATGTGTTCGTGGCCTGAACATCTGACTCAGTCACGTTTGCCTGACTCTACACAGCTGGGCGCAGGCCAGCCAGCCATGCTGCCTTCTCGATTTAGCACATTGTCTGTTTTTAGAGATTTTGTAGGATTTTCTCTTAAAAAATAAAAATGTTGGGGGCCCTCCCTGGTGGCACAGCGAGTTAAAGCACTGCACTAAGAAGCTTAAGCCATTTCCGCATGAATTTGATCCCCGCCTGCCCGGAGGAGATCCACATGGCGCAGCAGACCTCTCCTGACCCGCCCGCTGCTCCCCTCAGCAGTGTACTTCGTCGATCTGCCTGTTCTGCTCCCCGCTCTGTCTCTGGTGAATCCTCTCACCCTCCACAAATAAAATAATAAATAAATAAAAATATTGGGCTCTCCCTGGTGGCACAACGGGTTAAAGCACTGAATTATGATACTCTCCAAAGCCACTATAGCACAAGTTCGATCCCCAGCCAGGGAGGTGACCCACATGGTGCAGCAGACCTCTCCTGAGCTGCTCCCCTCAGCAGTGTATTTCAGTACATCTGCCTGCTTTGCTCCCTGCTGTCTCTGATGAATCCTCTCACCTACCACACCTCTGGCCTATACCCCAGTTCTGTAAGCATAAGTAAATCTTTTAAAAATAAATAAATAAAATAAAAGCATCACTTGTTCACCTCAAAGGCACTGCTGCTGGATGTAGCCTGGAAGTACCAGGCTCACTGACCGACATCTGGCTCATTGGTTTTGTAGAAGGAGAATGATGGTATGCAAAATTATAGAGGGAAAATACTGTGTACATGTATGATTTTGAGTTTATGCCCAAGAGATCGGTCTCCATGAAGGAAAACTTCAAAGCGTGAACAAAGATAAACCACCAGGAAGAGTTTAGAAGCAGCCTAGCCAACTTGGCTTACCACATGGGGGACCTTCCAGAAGTAGTCAGGAGAGGCCAAAGTAACCAAAATGTTACTAGTGGAAGTAGAAGGTGGAAGGGAGGTGTGCAGGGCCTAGCTCTGCTAATCTCTGCCCTTTTTGCTCAGGTTCTCCCAACACTTTCAATGCAGGATTTACCCACATCTGAGGGACAAAATGGAACTCATCCCTTTAATCAAGATTGGATGCCTATTATGAGTTAGGTAACCATTAAGGCCTGGAAATACCAAGGTGAGTTTAAAAAAAAAAAAAAGTGACACCTTCAAAGATCTCATGGCATGGTTTGGGAGACAGGTCAGGTGTGAAAATAAACCACAAAATGCAGGTTGTGAGGGGACAGAGTGGAGGATGTCCAGAGCAGAAGTGCATGAAAGCTCAGACCTACTTCCCCTTGAGTTCAGTGAGTTCTGGTCTGAGACTTAAACAGCAGAATGAGAATGAACAGAATAAAAAAAGAGGGGAGACACAAAAAGTGGGGGCTGCAAGGGGGAAGCCCCCGTAGGGAAGGGCCCACAGTGGTGAGTTCTGCCAAGGATACAGTCTGAAGGCTCATGGAACTGCAGTAGAAAAGAGCCTGCCAAGGAAGGCAGAGCTAGGCAGAGAGAGGCCTCTGGAAGAGTCTGACCTCTCCTGTGGTTGACATGGCCTTTGAAGAGGCCTAACTGGTCCGGTCTGGCAGCAGCCCACTGGCAATCATCTGGGGCAGTGACGAACTCAGTTGTGGTTCTAAAGCGTTTCTGGAGCTCTCACTAAACAGTGGCAAATTGTCCGTTACACCTTCAACAAGCAGAGATCATAATAAAGATACCAGTAAAATGCGAGTGCTCATTCACTGGATGCCAGCATGGAAGAGCTGTACATTCTCACTCCATCCTTGCCACAATCCAGAGTAGCACTTGGTGCTGCTATTCCCATTTAACAGATGGGGACACCGCTCAAAGGTTGTGCCTCACATAGCAAGTGATGGAGCTGGAACTTGAACACACTGTCACTGCCACAGGAAAAAGGTGGCCAGGTTAGGATGAAGGAACAAGAAATGAAGGTTTAAATTAAGAGGTGGACATGGGGCGGTATCTAGATGGTGAATCATGTAAAAGCCCCCCACCCTCTGCCTCCCTCTCCAAAAAAGGAAGAAGGGTTACCGCTTGTGGTAAGCGCAGGAAAATGCAGCCTGATCACTCAAGAGCGCTAGTCTGTAAAGGCTGAGGACTGAGGGGTTAGAGAGGGAGGAGCATGATCCCTAGCAAGCTGCTTACGTCAGGCCCTGAGTACTGCAAGCACCATGGAGAGCTCCTAACTAACTCAAGGATCCTTTCCATGTGGAACTGAGGCCAGAAAGGAAAAATGGCTAGTATCACAGATAGGTCTGAAGGGAGTTTCTGCATCCTGCTAACATACCCAAATTCTCCTCTAGGAAGCAACCCCTTTCCTCAGTGAGCACTCCTGCAGTGGGTCTTATATGGGGCTGTCATAACAGATACCAGCCTGGCAAAGTTATTCAACATTTCTCTCAGTTCTGGAGGCTGGGAAGCCCAGCATCAAGGTGTCTGGGGAAGGCCCACCTGCATGGCCACCCTCTCACAGTGTCCTCATGGGGGGGAGGGGGTGTGAGCTGTATGTCTCTTCTTCTAAGAGCAGTACTCCCATGAGCAAGGCTCCACCTTCATAACCTAATCAGCCCCCTCCCAAAGGCCCCATCACCCAATACCGACCCACTGGGAGCAGGATTTCAACATAAGAGTTTTGGTGGGGGACACAAACATACAGTACAAACCAAACCACACCTCCAGATTAAACCAGTCCACAATGCCACTCCTTCAAGTGCAAGCTCAGGTCAAGGTTACTCACAGAACTCCATAAAGTCATCCAGGAAGAATCAGAAGCTTGTATTTCCTCCCGTTCAAGCTGGCGCAAGTGCATTATCCCCAGCCACAAATAAGGGAAAAGTGGATTTTTGCTATGCCTAGGCTTTCATTAATCACATGTATTTTCCTTTTTCTTTCTCCATGCGAGTTTGGGAATACCAACAACGACCTCTCTGGGTTGTTGGAAGGATGAACAAAGAAAGTGCATGGACATCACGCACAGCGGTGCCTGGCATCCAGCAAGCACTCCTATCAGCCAGTATTTATCTTAGCCCCCTGAGCTACTTTTTCCTGTGCTACCAGCACAAAGAGTCTGAACAAAACAGTGACCTGTTATTGCTAGTACAGCACCTATAGCCATAGTTACATGTTCCCAGGACTTCCTCAAGATCAAAGCTTTAAGTCTGTGTACTCAGGGGCTACATTTCAGTGAGCGGAAACCACCTACACACCAGTCTCCTGGCCCCAGGGCTAGCTCCCACGCACAGCTCTCCGCCCTCCTCCGGCCACTTCAGCTCTGAGCACCCTCTCCACCCACCCCTTCTCCTCGCCTGCGGGTGGAGAACATCGGCTGCTCCAGTGGGCCAGTCTTGGTGGGCGGTGGGCCGGGTCCTGGGGGTCGGCGGGACGGTCGGGACCGGTGGAAGGGACTCGGGGAGACGGGCCGGATCCTGGGGATTATTAGCGAGTCGGCCCTGGGGAAGGGGAGGGAGGTAACGGAGTTACAGGCCAGTTCTGGGAGGCCGGACGGGTGGTCCGGGGACCGACGGGCCGAGTCCTGGGGAACGCGTCGGGTCCCGAGGAGCAGGGGGCTACGGACCCGGGACCTGAGGGAGATGGGGGCAAAGGACCCGGTCCTAAAGAGAGGCGACCGGCCGGGTCCTGGGGGCGGCCGAAAGTCACGCCACGCACTCCGCTCCTAGGAGCAAGCCCGACTGGCCGCACAGGAGCCCGCGGCTCGGACCGAGGCGCGACCCCGGAAGTGGGCGTGCGTGCGACCCCCAAGCCCGCCCGGGCCGCCCGCAAGCCAGCCAATCACTGCACGCCCCGCCCCCGCGTCACGACGAGGCCAGCCAATGGCGCGGGCCTGGCTGCCGCTTCCTGCCCACCCGCTAGCCGGGCTCGGGGCTGAGGCTGATCGCCTCTGCAGCCCGGAGGAGCGGCGGTAGTAACCCCGATCGCGAGCCCGATCGCGACCCCCGCCGGTGGTGGTCCTGGTGAGTGCAGCGGCGGGCCGGGCTGAGGGGCGCTCCCGGCCTCGCGGATTGATTGGGCAGGTGGAAGCAACGGTGTTTCGCCCGGATCTCGCGCCGAAAGAGGGAGGGTTGTGTCGGTGCTTCCTCGCACACCCGGCGGGGCGCCGCCCCCGTCCGCGATCGCGGGGGCCAGGTGACACCCCGCCCCAGGCTCTGCACCGGAGTGATTCGGGAAGCGGGTTGCGGGAGCCTGGCGGCTTTAGAGGATCGAGCTGCGAGGAGCCCTCAGTACCTCCTCTGACAGTAGTGGGAGCCGATCTGCTGTGGGGCTGGTGTGGGCAGATGGTGCTCCTGGCGCGCCCGCTGTGCTCCTGGCCGGGGGCAGGGGCCCACCTGCCGCCCGAGCGCGCGCAACCCACCGGAACCATCCTGACGCTCACGCCAGGATGGGGGCGGGCAGCGGGTGTATCCTCCGAGCCGCGCGCGGGCCCGGGACACCTCTGGCTCAGTCAGCCCGAGCGAACTCTGCTCTTCAGGAAGGAATTGCTGTGCATGCCCTGCTGTTTCCTTCCGATTCCTTGGGTCCTGTCGTCGTCGTCCTCGCAACTAGCCGGCAGGAAACAACTTTAGTAGCCTGGGTTCTCTGCATTTGGGGTGGGAGTGGCAGACTGTAATAGAAAACAAACCCCAGGCTACTTTTCAAGATGGAACCCCAAGGCAGACTTCCTTGGGACTGGACCCTCCCTCTACCACGCCCTACCCTCCTTCACCCATTCCACACTTTCCCTTTAGCGCCCTTTGGTCTCAGACGGATTCTGTTAACGAACCCGTAAATCAAAACAGAAAGCAGATGGCTTTGAAGGTGGTGAACAGGGCTTGTTGGCAGAGTCACTGAAGATGGACGAGGCTTCCTTTTGCACCAGTTATGTGTGAATCAGGTTGCCCTCTTGGAAGGTGTGCCCTCCATGCCCTCACACCCCTGACCCCAGAATCATGGAACCTAGTACTCCTAGTACAGCCTCCCTTATAAGAGTTCCCAGACCCGGTCACACAGTATCCCTGGATAGGTTCCTGGATCACCTCACAGCCAGGAGTTGCAGGCTGGAGGAAGAGGGGGCCGTGTGGGCAGGTCAGAGGGAGGTGCATCTGCCCAAGGATGTTCACCCTGTGTCATCTTTGACTAGGCGGTGACTGGTGCCCGGGTCTCCACTCTGAAGAGTTTGTATACACAGCCCTCACCTGTCCAGCAGACTCTTCCATTAGCTGCCCATAAGGTTCAATTATCCCTGTGTGGAAATTACTGCTTAGTCATTTCTCTGAAGGAAAATGTATCAAACACAAGTGAAGTCCACTCATTGAGTTCAATTTGCAGAGAGACTGACTTAACTAGTTGCTAAACTGTGAGCTTAGAAATATCTTTGGAGACTGAACCCACAGAAGCAGATAGTTCCCACCCCCTAGAAAAATCTTACCTCCTTCCAACAATTTATAATGAAGACTTTAAGTCAAGTCAAAAGAATTCTACAATAAACACCCACACACCTGTCCCTGAGATTCTACTATTGACATTTGACTGGAGTTTCTTTCTCACACATCACTCCACCTTAGTTTTAACCTTATCTAATTGATGAAACTTCTCTCTCCTGGACTAATATTTCCTTCTTGGTGTGGGATATCAGCAGTGTAGTGGACACTAGTGGTGGTGGTTATCCCTAAACATTGGTTGGAGACCAGGCTGGCTGAATAAAAAGGCAGAAGACTTGAGCTGCCCAGAAGAGGAAGTGACTTTTTTTTAAGACAGAGAAGATCAGCGGCCACTAATAAAAATGACATTAACAATACCCATTGACTTGCTGGGAATCTAGCACTGTTTATTATAAGCTCTGTAACTGTGTGAATTCATTTAATTTGCACAACTACTTAAGTCCGTTGCTGTTCCTTTTACAGATCAGGAAGTGAGGCGCAGAGAGGTTACTTGGCTTTTGGTGCAGCTAGAAAGTGGTGGGACCAGGACCCGAATCCCAGCGGTCTGAATCCAGAGCGGCTCTGGGCATGCTTCACAAGGTGTAGCGGCCAGTGTGGATAGTGGGCCCTCAGGGAGGAGCGAAGGGTGTCTGGGTTGGCTCCGGCCTTCCAGGGGTCCCCGCTCAGGCACCTGGCAGAGGTGCATCCTTCAAACGACTCCAGGGCCGTGTTGTTCTGAATTTTCCCTACGTGGAGCTGGCTTCTGTGCCCTGGGGTGAAGAGATCAGGGTTCTGTGTGAGGTTCCTCTGGGGCTGGCTCCACCCTGCTGGCCATCTCCTGACCTGGCTCTTCCCACGGCTTGGCTCTTGCTCCTCTTCCCTTCTTCCTGTTCCTCATCCTTCATCCACTTCCTTCTCAACTTGCTTTCTTTCTTCTTGGGTGTCTGTAAGACACACTTTGTTCCCAAAGAGACAGTCTGCCTGTGGCAGATGCTCCTGTTTTTAGCTCGTTCTGTCGAGTTGTCGTCTCCATCACCATGCCTTCCAAAGCCCCAGGTGCCCCTGAGCCCAGCCTGGAGGCACCCCTACCCCATCTGTCTCCTGACAGTTACCGAACCAGACAGGCCGTGACCTCGCCTTTAGGCTCGTCCCCCATTCTGGCCTATTGAGCAATGATGTGTCTTCGGATTGGGCTGCTTGGCCGAGCTTCCCAGTGAGTCCCCACCACCTCATCCAGTCACTGTGTTCCGTGGCTGTGGCTCTGATCTTGTGACCCTTCGCAGTGGGAGGCTTGCCCCTGCCAGAGCCAGGGCTCCAGGAATCATGAGGAGCAGCAGCACCAGCAGCTCCTGGGTGAGGTGGCAGTGGCAGAGCTCACTAGTAGCCTCCTCCACCCCTACATAGCAGAGGGGAAGAGAGCAGAGAAGGGCAGAAGGAAGGTGGCTGGCTCAGAGAGTGAGACAGGGTCCTCTCCCCCACCACACCATCCCGAGGCAAGGGCAGGACCGCGGAGGGCAGTGGGACACCCCCTGGAGGCCCTTACAAAGCCAGCTTGAGGGTGGGGACCTCCACTGCCCACCTTGGAGAAGGGCCTCAAGCTGGCAGCACAATGGGTATGCATTTTCATGAGGTTCAACTAAATCTATAACTATTCACAAAAAAGAACCAAAGGAAATAGGACCCAATAATAATATTCCATATATTTGGGGAAGTGGCTACTTGTGTGTTACTTTTATTCCGCTGCATTTTCTGTGTATTTGGGAAAAAATACACAGAAAAAAGAGGGATGGAGAGGTGAAGGAAGCTGGAGGCCCGACGGGAGCCAGTGCTGGCCGGCGCCGCTCACCCCCCCCCGCACCCCCCCCAGGTCCGTGTCCGCCGCCGCCATGCCCACCTCGGTGCTGTGGGCGGTGGACCTGTTTGGGAGGGTGTACACGCTGTCCACGGCCGGGCAGTACTGGGAGCTCTGTAAGGACGTCCAGCTGGAGTTCAAGCGGGTCAGCGCCACCGCTCAGTGCTGCTGGGGCATCGCCTGCGACAACCAGGTCTACGTGTACGTGTGCGCCAGCGACGTCCCCATCCGCCACCGTGAGGAAGCCTACGAGAACCAGGTGGGGCCACCTGGGCGCGCCGCGGCGTTGGGTTTGCTGGAAATAGGCCCCTCACTCCCCACCGTTGCCCCAGTCTAGACCTTGGTTCTGCCTAACATCAGAGGTGGGAGATGGCTAGCAGCCCTATGGTGTCCTGCCCACGGGAGGCGGTCAGGCCTACAGAGGGTGGGTGCAGTGAGCTCCAGGAGCCCAGGACAGGGCCCCAGGCCTCACTGCTGCCCTTTGGGGTCCCCCTGATGGGATGCCTCATCATCCCATGAAGCGGGGTGGGGTGAAGCGGGGTGGGGTCACTGATCCCTGAGTTCCAGGCAGGCCCTCCACTCCTGCCCGTCATGGACCCTGCAGGGCAGGATCCTGTTGGCTCCCAGAGGCCCCAGCTGCCCCCTAAGGCCCATCTCTGCCTCCTGACCCTCAGCGCTGGAACCCTATGGGTGGCTTCTGTGAGAAGCTTCTTCCCAGTGACCGCTGGTCATGGAGTGATGTGAGTGGGCTCCAGCACCGGCCGCTGGACGGGGTGACACTGCCCTCACCGCACTGGGAGTGGGAGTCAGACTGGTACGTGGATGAGAATTTTGGAGGGGAGCCCACCGAGAAAGGGGTAGGTGAACCGGCTCCCCCCCCCCCCGCTGGCTCCCTGGGGAGGGAGTACCCTGGCGTGGGTGGCTGTCCCTGTGCCGGCCTGCGCTTTGCTCCCATTTGCTGCTCTTGCTTGGGGCCCTGCTGCTGAGTCCCTGCTCCTTCCACCCTGCTCCCCGCTCCCCCCCGCTTCCAGTGCCTTCTGCGAGGCCTTGTACCACCCCCTTGGTGTTTTCAGGGGTGGACATATGCCATCGACTTTCCTGCCACCTACACGAAAGACCAGAAGTGGAATTCTTATGTGCGCCGGCGGAGGTGGATCCGGTACAGGAGATACAAGTCCCGAGACACCTGGGCCAAGGTCTCCAAGCTGGCCTGTGGCCAGGGGGTGGACAGGGCTGGACAGCTGTGCTGCTGTGAGGAGGGTCTTGGGGACCCTCACCCCCTCTCCCGCCGTGCCCACCCCAGGCTGGTCTTTGAGCTATTTCCTGCCCCGGGAACTCTTTGGAACTGCGTGTCCCTTTGTTTGGAAAATGGCCGCGTGGGGTCTGGGCCAGACTGAGGCCCAGGATGATACAGACCGTGTCCAGGACTTGGTCTGCGCTTCGTCCTCCCCATTCTCCCCTGCCAAGCCACTCTGGCTGTTGGACGCTTCTCTCCTCCCCCAAAAGCTCCAAATGCGGACACGAGGCCTAGACTGGGATCCTGAAGTGGGGTCCTGCCTGGCCTTGGGCAGAGGAAGACCACGGGCCCTCGCCGGACCTGTGGAAGGTCCACACTGTGAGGTTATGGGGTGGGGCTGCCAGCCTAACCCACTAGGCCCTTGGGGTGGGGCAGCCTAAGCCTCATCCCTCTTTTTTGGGAGAGTTGGGGGGGTGGGGGAGATGAAGGGAGGTAGAGTCACAGGCCAGGTCACCGCCAAGTGCACATCTGCCTTCTATGCTGAAGCAGCAGTGACCACTCAGGAACAGCAGCCCAGGCCTGGTGGCTCATAGAAGGGAACTCGGGGCCAGAGGCCTTCCTAATGCCGCCACCCCACGAGTCAGGCAGCTGTAGCCTGAGGCAGGTGGCAGGCTGAAGCTGGGGGGACAGTGCAGCCTCATGCTCAGCTGTCACCAGAAGAGATGCAATCCAGGTACTGGCCCAGGTCTGTGACCGCCCTGCCTCACACCTCCTGTTTCAGATTCCTTCAAAAGATGACCCCAAGCATCTGCCGGACCCCTTCAATGACCTCTGTGTAGGGGGGTGGGAGGTCACAGACGAGCCCGTGGGCCGCCTGTCCGTGTGGGCGGTTTCTCTGCAGGGAAAGGTAAGGTCTGTGCCCCTGTGCCTTGGACTGGAGTGGTTGAGGGAGGAGGACCCCGGGCAGCGATGGGGGGGGCAGAAGCTGGCCCTCAGGTGTGTCCCAGAGTTGGAGGGGGCAGGAGGTGAACCTGCCCCTCACCTCCCATCCCTGAGCAGGCAGCTTGTTACTGGGCTCCCGCCTGTGATTCCTGTCCTGTGAGCCCCCTGGGGTCCGCTCCTCCCAGGAGCTATGACCCCCACTTCATGCCTGGCCGTGGCCTTCCCCCACTCTGAGCTTCCCAAACCCTGATCAGCACCCAAGTGGCCTCAGATGCCATCAGTGGCGTCTCTGCAGCTTCTGAGTTCTCTAGCAGCCTCTGGTGCCGCCCACATAGCAGTCTCCAGGAGGGCCCTGTGTGAGAGAGACGGACAGTGGCTGACTGGACAGAAAGGGGAGGCGGGGGTCAGTGCGTGGGTGTGCAGATGGTTAGAAAGGAGAGGCGGCCCTTCTCAGGGGGTCTGAACTAAGCCAAAGACTAAAAACCCGACAGCAGCAATGACATACCTGGCCCCAAGTGCAGGTGACCCAACACCTTCCTCAGGGTTTTGAGTGTGCTTGACAGCTAGTCAGATTCCTTCAAAATGTTTGTGTTTCAGATCCCTTCAAAAAATGACCCCAAGCATCTGCCAGACCCCTTCGGTGACCTCTTGGGAGCCGGGGAGTCTGCCAGCTGCAGCAGAGTTTTCATTAGGCTCAGCGCTGGGTCCTGGGCGGCCCAGTTGTCCCCGAGCCTTGCTGAAGGGTGATGGGCAGCTGGGCAGGACAGAGTCCCCATTGGGGGTCCACCCCCCGAATGTAGGGGCATGCAGGCAGTGTGGTCACCGGTCCCCCGGAGCCCATATGCCTGCACCTCTCCTGGGGTCATGAAGGTGTGACCTGGACCAGGCAGGGTAGGGTGGCAGTGGCCCTGGACCAGCAGGTGGCAGAAGGGAGGATACCTGACCTGACTGTTGGTTTTAAGGGGGAGGCGGCAAGGTTGCCGGGGCTCAGGAGGGGCTCCCCAGCTTCCCTGCACCACGCGGCTAGATGAAATGAAACAGTTTGGATGATATGAGCAGTGGGCAGCCGTAAATATTTGATTATGCTCCTTCCCTCTGGTTAAGGAGGAAAAGAAGTGGGCATTTTAGATATCGTGTGAGGGAGATTAGGGGTGTTCCCAGGGAGCCACTCTGGACTCTGCTTGCCCTCGGTGTCCTGAAAGCATGTGGCCACCAGGGGGCACAGGATACCGCGTTTGAGTGCTTAGGGAGGGAACTGCCCAGCCCCAAGACCCTGGAAATCCCGGCATTGTGTTTGTTAGCCCTGGTGGGGAGTCCTTTAATCTGTCCTCAGGATCCTGTTGGCAGGGGGACAGGGTGAGGGAGAGCGAAACAGTCAGGGCACTCTGCTCCCTGCACCCCCCGAGGGGTGCCCAGCATGCGAGGGTTGGGTGGCTGCCTGGACCACAGCGCCTCTCCTGACCCCTCTGACCCTCCCTGTGGGTTTCTCTTGCCTCCCAGGTGTGGTACAGAGAGGATGTCAGCCACCCCAACCCCGAAGGCTCGTCGTGGTCCCTCGTGGATACCCCGGGGGAGGTGGTCCAGATCAGCTGTGGGCCCCATGACCTGCTATGGGCCACACTCTGGGAGGGGCAGGCCCTGGTCCGGGAAGGAGTCTGCAGGAACAACCCCAAAGGTGGGCCGGCCCCCCGCCCCCGCTGGGAGAGGTGGGGAGCGCCCAGTTTCTCCCTGCCACTGTTGCTGACGGCCTGCCTATGCTTTCCTTGGGGTTGGGCAGGAAGTTCCTGGTCCACAGTGGAGCCCCCCACATCTGAAAACGGAATCATGCACGTGTCTGCGGGCGTCGGCGTGGTCTGGGCTGTCACCAAGGACCGGAAAGTAAGACGGGCAGGCCCCTAGGCTCTTCTGAGGGTTGACGCTTCTGTGGTTTTGTGTTATCATGAGTGTGCGCTTACCATTCAGAAAATACCTGGCAGCCGTCCAGCGCTGCACACAAATGTCTGGTTCACATGGGTGGTCTCCACGATGCCAGTGCCTGCAAGAGCCCCCCAGCCTGCAGCCTGTACCAGGAGCAGAAAGGCTACATCACATAATAGGCTGTGACCTTTAATAACCAGAGCTGATTTTCTGAAATCCAGTTCATCAGATGTCTCCGCCCCCTCTGCCTCAGTGCTTGGCATTATCAGGTCACCAGAGGAGACTAATAAAATGTACTGATTTCAGGTTGTTTATCAGATCTCGGTCTAACCCCATGTAAAGGCATCCCATAGCATTGGGGCAGGGTGGGGTACGGTTAATCACCCACACTTCTGAGTCTGTTCTGAGTGCTGAGGGTTCCTGAGCCTCAAGCCACATCCTCCTGCGCCCCCGTCCTCCCAAGCCTGAGAAAATAGAAATCAGACTGCCCTGTTCATGCTCCCCGAGAAGGTGACATCTTAGCCCTCTTATGACACGTCATCATGTTCAGATTAAGTGAGCAGAAAATTTGATTTACATGAAGAGTTTGCCCAGTCTTCAGACAAATTTTTTTTTAAGATTTATTTACTTATGCATACAAGAATTGGGGTGTGTAGGCCGGAGGTACAGGACGGTGAGAGGATTCGCCAGAGACAGAGGGAGCAGAACAGGCAGATCTACTGAAACACACTGCTGAGCAGAGCAGCGGACAGGACAGGAGAGGTTGCTGTGCCCTGTGGGTCAGCTCCTGGCCAGGGATCGAACTCCTGCTGCAGGGCTGCAGGTAGCTTCATAGTGCTGTGCCTTAATCCCTTGAGCCACCAGGGAGGTCCATTCAAACAAGTATTTGATTATACAAACTTTCTTTAGGTTAAGGAGATATTTTACTCATTTTAGAAGTTTTTATGAAAGGCACTTGGAGGGTTCTCATGTAGCCGGTCCCCTGCCCTTGACCTGCCTCAGGAATTATGGTCAAACAAGCACACAGCATCCCGTTGGCTCTGAGAGCTGCCGAGGCCTTGCCCAGGCCACCACCATGGCCACGCAGGCCGAGGAGGACGCAGCGGGCGGGGGGATGGGCAGTGGCGTGCAATAACCAGGTACGCCATAGAGCTGCGCTCAGGCTTGAGGAGTCTGGTTGGTTTGGGTGTATTTTTACAAATTGGTGTGGAAAAGTATAGTGGTAGAGAGACTATTTTATAAAGCACTAGCTTAAGCCCAGAATATGCTACTTATTCTGAGTTTTAAAAAATGGTTTCCTTAAATAGCATCTGTCAAGCCACGGTGTCATGTGAGGCAGACTTGACTGGGTAGAGTAGCCTTTTCCACTCTTAGCTTGAGCTACGTCGGGGATCGCACAGAAGCCTGTGATAGGGGTCGGGCTCACAGGTCATCGTTGATTTGAGGTGCAATATGTATGCCCCGGCCCCACCTTCGCCTCTCACTGTCTGCAGCGAAACAGCTCACACCTGGTACCACTAGTGTCTGAGCTGGTAGAAAGAAAGTTCTAGAAAGATTCAGGCATTGAGGGGCATTGCTCAGCCTGAGAATGGATGGGGAGCCATGGGGACAGGTGTGGCCGGGGACAGGTGGGGCAGTGCCCAGTCCCAGGGAGACACAGCAGGGGCCTGGGGCGGAGGGATGTGGTGGGCCTTTCCTTTGAAAATGATGCCCCGTACCTGTTTGTGCAGAACCAGTAGGTCAAATTGTTATTTGTTCTTCCTGAGCCTTAAACAACAAGCCTTCTATTTCAGTGGGCCTCCAGGGAGGCATGTTTGTTTCTGACTTTCTCAGGTGTGGTTCCGAAGAGGCGTCAACTCGCACAATCCCTCTGGCACCAGCTGGATCGAGATGGTCGGGGAAATGATGATGGTGAACGTGGGGCTGAACGACCAGGTGCGTCTGGTTCCAGGCCTTGGTTGGCGAGGCCCAGGGTGGTAACTCAGAAATAGTGGGGGTCTCAGAGTGGGGCTCTTGATGCTTCCTGCTGCCCATGTGAGGGGGCATGCTCACCGGCCTGGCTCCCAGCCTCAGAGGCCCCACTGCTCCCAGATCCCTCGCCCAAGGGCCCTCCGAGCAGTGACATGAGCGCGGATGTAGGGAGAGGGGTGTGTGTCTGGAGACAGGATTGGTTTTGCTGAGAACGAGTTGGGTGACATCAAATCTCAGTGAAGGATGAAGCTGACCTACCCACCTTTGAGACGCAGCCTCTCAGCTCCCTGTACAGTTCACGCCGTGTGCACTTGTACGTCATGCTGTTTAGTGACTTAAGACCCACGGTGTGAGGGTGAAAGCTTCCCCACCCCGTTGCCCTGAGCTTGAAGCTGCTCCTGGGGGGCTCTGGCCTCCCTTGCGTCCCCACACCCATCTCCCTACCCAAGTACAGAGCAGGCCACTCCACCGTGGCCAAGGCGCCGAGCTGCTGGACCTGAATCTGCTCCCCAGCCCCTCTCCTGGGCCATTCAGCTGCCCAGCACCCAAGGGCAGAGGGAGGGAGGTCTGACTGCCACTTTTCCCATGAAAAGGGAGGTCAGAATCAAGGAGACTAATGTGCGCTCTGGGTTCACTCGGGAAGCAGCTTCCTGTCTCCGGGCCCTGGGCCCTGGGCCCTGGGCCCATGGGTGGGCTCTGAATAGGCTGTACCCATTGCCTCTAGACCCTGTCACCCCGAAATCCCAAATCTGCCTGAAGTTGGAGGGCAGGATGGGCTCCTGCTTCTCCTGAGCTGGGTGCCATGCCCCCCACCCTGCACTCCGGGCTCCTCCTCCTTCATTTGCCTCTCACACCCACCTCACACCCACGCCATTGACCTCCTCAGCGTTAATACACGCATGCATGTGCCTCACTGCATTTATGGGGCGCTCCTGCCTACTCTTACAGATGTGTCCTCCAGCCTTCCACGCTCTCCCTCATTTTTGTTTTACCCCACTTTCCCAAAAGGGAAGAGAGCCCCCAGACCTCTCCCCAGCAGCGCCTCTCTGTTCCAGGTCTGGGGCATCGGCTCTGAGGACCGGGCAGTGTACTTCCGTCAGGGAGTCACCCAGAGTGAGCTCAGTGGGAAGACCTGGAAAGCCATCGTCGCCAGCAGAGAGTCTGACCGCTCGCACTCTGGCAGCTCCTGCAGTCTCCTCAGGTGATCCTGGGGCCGGGGCGCAGAGGAGAAGGGGGGAGCAGGCTGTCTGGCCCTGTGGGCAGTGCCCGAAGGAGGCTACCTCTCAGCTTCTCGGTGGGGCGCCGTTTGTCCCTGGCAGAAGATGAGGCTCTGAAGCCAACAAGCTGCCACCTGTGGGTGTCCTGGCTCAGCCAGGGAGTGACACATGGGAGCAGACTGGGAGAAGGGCTGGCCTGCTTGTGGCAAAGACCCAAGTTCCGGGAGAGAGAAGGCTTCAGTGCGGTGGACACGCAGGACCCCTGTCAAAGGAAAGCGGGGGAGATGGAGCCTCAGACTTGGGTATGCACCAGTATCGCTGGGGTCTTTTTCCAGCACAGATTTGCAGGCCCCGTCCCCAGAGTTTCTGACTCAGTACTTCTGGGTGAGGGCTCGAGCTGTTGCAAGCTCCCAGGGGTGCTGCTGCTACACCCCTTTTTATGGGATTTATTTATTTATGCATACAGAACTGGGATATAGGCCAGAAGTGCAGGGGGTGAAAGGATTCACCAGAGACAGAGTGGGGAGCAGAACAGGCAGATGGACAAAGTACACTGCTGAGGGGAGCAGTGGGTGGGTCAGGAGCGGTCTGCCGCGCCATGTGGGTCACCTGCCAGGCCGGGATCAAACTCGCGCTGCAGTGACTGCGCTAGCTTCACAGTGCTGTGCTTTAACCCATTGCGCCACCAGGGAGGGCCCAGAATGGCTTCTTAAAGATGACACCCAAACCCCAAATAACCAAAGGGAAAATAGGCAGATTGGATTTCATCAGTATTAAAATCTGTTATGCATCAAAGGACACTCATAAGAGTAGAGACAACCCGCCAAATGGAGGAAGTCTGCAGTTGGACAAGGCTGTAGCATCTAAATCACAGTAAGACTTCTTACAACTCAACAGGAAGACAGACACCCAAGCTTACAAGGGGCAAAGCACTCGCGTAGATACTTCTCCCAAGGAAGCAGACAGGTGGCCACCGCCCAGGAGGAGGGTCCAGCATCATCAGCCACAGGGAAAGCCACACCACAACTGCAGATTCTGCTCCACACTGACTGGGGTCCCCTGCGCCAAAAAGACGGAGCGTGGGGAAGTCAGGGCCTTCACGCTGCTCGTGGGGCTGTGAGTGGTGCAGCTGCGTGAAAAGCAGACCGCTGGTTCCTCAGCAAGTCAGACGTCCCCCCCAACTCAGCAGTTTCACTCCTAGATATTGCCCAGGGAATTGAAAACAGTGTTCAGACTTTTAAAAGCATGTGATTGCTTCCTGAAGCAGTCCTCAGTCACTGAAGGGCGGAGGCACTGCGGGTGTCGGTGGATGTGTGTGCAAGTGTGCCGTGGACTGGCACCGATTTTTATCCCTCTGTTAAGAAAGGGGCCGAATGCCCACTGACGGGTGCTGCAACGCTGCACGAGCCCTGCCATGACCCTGAGTGAAAGAAGGTCACATCTTCTGTGGCAGAAGGTCACGTGTTACACGATGACCTAGGATAGGCAGCTCCCTAGACGCAGAAAGCAAGTTAGCTGGGGGATCGGAAATGGAGGGACGGGCGCAGGGTTTCCACTTGGGGTGAGGGGAACGTTCCTAGGGAGCACAGTGCAGTGACCGTTGCACAGCACTGTGAGTGGTGCCTGGTGCCCCGGCATCGCCTGACCTCAGACAGTGTGTTTTACCACAGTGAAAAGCCCTCCCGGACCTGGGCCCCGGGTGTTCTGCCTTCGGGCTCCGTGGGAAGCAGGCATTTGTGTGTGTGTGGCCACAGAGAGCTTATGACGCGTCTGTAGCCACGCAGCCAGCAGCAGCCTGGCGTCACCGGTCTACCGCCCTCTGTTCCAGCGCCGGCTGCTTCTTTGGGGATGAGGTGAGGGGCAGTGGCGAGTCCTGTGCACCCAGCGACACGGATGCCTCCTCGGACGCCGAGAGACCCGGGTCTGACCCGGTTGACCCTGCAGAGCCTTTGCACAGTGCCAGGCACCCCAGGGGCAGCTCGGCCTCCGGCCCAGGCGGGACCACGGAGCGTGCTGGGGAGGTGACCACAGGGCCCGAGTCACGCCCTGGCCCGCCCTCCACGCCAGCCGAGCTGCCCTGGACCAATATCGATCTAAAGGAGCCCAAGAAGGGACCCAACCACTCGGCCGCCGGCTTCCCCGAGCCCAGCAGCCTGTCCTCGGCAGGGCTTCTCCCTCTGGGGTTGGAGGAGCCCTATGGCGCTGACGACCACCCGCTGTGGGCCTGGGTGTCAGGAGGGGGCTGTGCTGTGGAGGCCCATGCCGTGCTCAAGTGGTTCAGCCTCCAGTCAGGTAAGGGCATGCTGGGAAGCCGAGCGCTCCATAGGGTGTCCGGGGGAGGGGGGGGGCTGGGTGTCCAGTGCTCAGCCAGCACCTCCAGGAGAAAGGCAGCGTCTTGCCTGTCCAACAATCAGTGGCCTGAACTAGGGGGACATCAGCTCTCCATCAGGGAAAAAGGCGGGGCAGGCCCACGGGACATTTTGCAGAGATGGTGGCTTTCAAGCAGAAAGGACCTAGAGATTAGAAGGAAAAAGCCCCCCGCCTGCGCCCCGCCGTGCTCAGCCTGGACACCCGGCCCTAAGGCTCTGGCTGCCCGCAGGCCTGTCCCCCTCGGTGCAGACGCTGTCCCTGTCCATCACGCCGGCCCAGACTGCCGCCTGGCGGAAGCAGATCTTCCAGCAGCTCACAGAGAGGACCAAGCGGGAGCTGGAGAACTTCCGGCACTACGAGCAGGCCGTGGAGCAGGTGCGGCGGCCCAGAAGGGCTTCACTGAGGGCCTGCTGCCCGCCAGCCCCAGGCACAGAGGCATCATGGCTCTTTCTGTCCATCCAGATGGAACCATCCCTGCCGGCCCTTGGCAGGTCAAGGGGGCGGGATGAGTACACGCGCTGTCCACCCCCGCAGGAGCTCTGCTCGGGTTCTGCTCATTTCCGTGTGCTGTGGGCCCTGCACCCTGACAACCACAGCCACCGCGGGGTGGGAGCCACGTGCTGCTCTGCCTGTGGCGTTACACGGAGACAAGTGGAGATAGGGTTGAGGGTGACCTCGAACCCTGGCCCGGGCCCGGCCCGTGCTGGCCCTGCAGCGCAGCCCAAACCCTGGAGGTCTGCAGTCAGTGTGCGGCAGAAGTTACGTTCAGGGACCTGCCGCGTCTCCGCTTGTGGGGCAGGAGCAACCTGCCCATCTACGAGTCAGGTCTCTGGCCACAAGCCTGGCTGGGCGTCGAGCGGGACCAGTCAGGCTGGGCGTGGGCCCCAGCTTTGTCACTGATTTGCTCTGTAACATCAGGCCAGGCCCAGGGCCACCCCGAGCCTCAGCTCCCCCATCCAGAGCAGTCAGTGCTGATCCCACTGGCTTGGGGCCTTGTGCCATCAGGGCCTGAAGCGTCACTTTCGTCGGAGGGGTGAGCTGGGGGAGCTGCCGGTGCTGGCGGGAGCCCTGTGTGAGGCAGCAGAGGGAAGCGGGACATGGGGCCCCTGGTGGTTCTGGGAACGGGGGCCTCCAGGACCTGCCTGTGACTGTTCCCACTGCCCTCTGGGCCTGTATCGCAGTCGGTGTGGGTGAAGACGGGGACCCTGCAGTGGTGGTGTGACTGGAAGCCCCACAAGTGGGTGGACGTCCGTGTGGCCCTGGAGCAGTGCACGGGGCATGACGGGGCTCGGGACAGCATCCTCTTCATCTACTACGTGGTGCACGAGGAGAAGAAGGTGCGGCAGGAGGACCCGGGTCGGGGGCGGGGGGGACGTGCAGCTGCAGGAGCGGGCCTGGGAGGCTGGCTGAGGTGCTCAGCCCACGACTGGCATCCACGGCGCTCTGGTCTGTGGTGCCCAGACCCGTCGGCACTGGCGTGTGTGCTCCTGCCCATGCCAGGCTTAGGGCCCTCTCCCGTCCCCCTCCCAGAGGCTGCCAGGCTGTCCCTGATCAGAAGGGTAGTGAGGCTTGGGACGCAGGCACTGCCTTCCTGAGCCCTGAACCCCATCTGATGCTGCAGTGCTTGTCGGTGTCCCAGAATCTCTAACATACAGCTGGGGCTCACGACCCAGGGCTTCCAGGCAGGGCCCAAGACCACCACTAAGCCCCAAAGCTGGCTCCGAGGGATCGGGGGGAGCTGACAGCCCCGCTCTGTCCCTGGTGACGTCCCCCTGTCCCAACCCCCCCAACAGTACATTCACGTGTTCCTCAATGAGGTGACGGTGCTGGTCCCCGTGCTGAACGAGTCCAAGCACTCCTTTGCGCTGTACACCCCCGAGAGGACGCGGCAGAGGTGGCCTGTGCGCCTGGCCGCCCACACTGAGCAGGACATGAACGACTGGGTGAGTGGGCTGCGGTCCCCCAGGCCGGGAGTCAAGGGGCAGCCTGGCCTTGGCCCGGGGCCCCCCTTCCCAGCACTGACTGGCTGTCTCCCCCGCCAGCTGGCCCTGCTCAACTTGGCCTGCTGTGAGGGCCGCAGGGTCCACGGCCGCCCCTCCCCGCAGGCCATCTGGTCCGTCACCTGCAAGGGGGACATCTTCGTGAGTGAGCCCAGCCCGGACCTGGAGCTCCCCGAGCACCCGCTGCCCTGTGACCAGATGTGAGTGGGCTGCGTGGGGGGGGCTGGGGGGGCGGCCCCACTCTGAGCTGTGGGCCTCCCCGGAGAGACGCAACATAGGGCCTCGCTGCCCTTGGCCGAAGCACAGCCTGCTGGCTAGGTCCCGGTTTCTGTCTTCCTGGGCCTGTGTGAGGACCCCAAGGGGAGACGGGAGCCGGCCTGGGCTCAGGACGGGTCAGCACCGCCAAGCAGCGCGTGCACTGTCGGTGAGGAGGTGAGGTTCTGCAGGGTCGGTGTGAATGGGGTCCTGAGCATCCAGCAGCTCCGGGGGCCACAGAGGGAGACCGGAGAGCCGCACAAGCCTGTCCCGGGGCTGCCCACAAAAGGTCACCAGGGCCAGTGAGCACCGGGTGAACACGTGTCCACTCTCTGGACCTGGTCAAGTCATACCACTGGTGACAATGGCAAGGCCCCTGTCAGCAGGAGAGAGGCCCAGGGAGCAGTTACCTCTGCCTGTTGCCACCCAGAAGCCTCTTGCACACTAGCTGTGGCTGCTCCTTGCGGCCTGCTGCTGGCCCATGTTGTGGCTCAGCCAGCGGGCAAGATGTGACACACCTACCCTGACCCCCAGGAACTACACTGGAGCTTAGGCTGTTGAATTTGCTGCCCAACCTCCTCGCCGCCCACTGTATAGCTTTGGGAATTAGGTGGGTGGACCCCTGAAGCCCCTGCATGCTGGGGGACCTGACCCCACCTGCCCTGCCGGCTGAGGGTGCCATGAGCCTCACGCAGCTCGGGGCTGCTCAGCTTTAGCTCTGCTAGTAGCCAGCAGAAGCCCAGCAGGTTCCATGTCCTTGATATGGTGTGAGCAGGCGGAGACAGTGAAGAGGATGCCAGCGGGAGAGCGGGCACCTGGTTGGAACGTCTGCTGAGACGAGTCCCTTGCACTTTCTCTCCCCGTCCTCCCAGGTTCTGGCGGCAGATGGGAGGCCACCTGCGGCTGGTAGAGGCCAACGGCCGGGGTGTGGTGTGGGGCATCGGCTATGACCGCACAGCCTGGGTGTACACAGGTGGCTACGGAGGAGGCTGCTTCCAAGGTAAGGGCACCCACCGCCGCAGCTGGCAGGACCGGCTCCCCTGAGCTCTGCCCACACCCTCCGGGCCTTTCCCTCCACTAATCCCCATCTGGCTTTCCTGGCCAATGCCAGGGCCACTTGGTTGACAGCGCTGACAGGTGACCTTCATCACTGCCAGCATCACAGAAGACGGGGCCAGGACCCATCCATGAGGCGTGAGGCCGGGAGACCCAGCCTCGTCCCCTGGCATGCCCTCCCACACACCCACAGCTGGCCAGGAGCTTGGTTTTGAAAGGTCCAGAAAGGCAGGTGCCGGGACCCGCGGGCCTGCTTTCATAACTGAGGCCTCGGGGCATGTTGGGGCAGCCCGGCAGCCCAGTCTCTGGTTCCCAGGCCTGAATTCCAGCCCCTCTGTAGGTCACCCAGGCTTTAGGGGATGAGTGCTTCCTGTGCCCTATGGGCTGCCCAGGCTCTGGGACACAGGTAACCTCAGGCAATGGAGGCAAAAACCGGACCTCAGCGCCAAGGCCCACGTGCCCCATAGTGAGGGCCAGCGAGGCCGCAGGACTGTGGTCCCCTGAGCCCAGGAACACAGGTCTGCACGATGGCAGCCCCTTCGTCTTCTTTTTACAAACGAGAAGATTGGGGCTCATGGGAGTTATGTGGTTGTTAATCAGGTGTGGGCTGGGTGGGCTTCACATGTGCCCCCAGGTAGAGGGGCGGCTGAGGGCAGAGTGGAAGGTGAGGGCGCCAGAGGTGGTTAGACACCAGGTTAGCGGCAGCAGGTTCTTACCCAGGTGGCGCAACCCCAGAGTAGTCACGGAGAGGGTCCCGGTGGGGCTGACCCCAATGACAAGCCCAGCCACGGCGGGCATCCAACCTGTGGTGGCCACGGCCCTCCTGCCCATCCTCCACCGAGTCCCAGCTGCGGCCCCTCCCCCAGGCCTGGCCAGCAGCACCAGCAACATCTACACACAGTCGGATGTGAAGAGTGTCCACATCTATGAGAACCAGCGCTGGAACCCCGTCACGGGCTACACCAGCAGGTGCGTCAGTGGGGGCACAGGGGTGCTGCCCCCCCCCAGCCGGAGCAGGCCTCAGGCCGGGGGCTGCCTGCGGCTCAGGCCCACGGAGGTTTCTCGCTGAGCCCCAATGTAACCGCGCGTCTGGCTCACCCCCGAGAGGCGCACGTGGCGCAGGGGTCACGCGGACACCCGCGCCCGAGACGCCCCCACACGCCAGCGCGGGAGCTGGGCCTCGCCCCCGCCCGCAGCACTGCGCTTCCTCCCACAGCCTCTTTTCACACACACTCAGGTAGTGACGAGCCCTGCGTCGGTTCTTCTTTTCTTAACTTAATTTTTTTGTTTTCATTTTTTAGGTTTTTTTCTTACATCATTGTTACTTTTGGACGGTGTTTCTCATTTCTCCCTTAGTTCTGCCAGCAGCTTAGCGCCCCTGTGTGCTTCTCACCCCTATTTAGCCCCTTCCCCACCCCCCGCTCCCCAAGGAGTGTGCCTGAGGTCAGCTTGCGAGTTTAATCTTTTTCTTGACGCTTTCTTGGTCTCCCTATTGCACATATAAGTGAAACCATCAGGTGTGTATCTTTCTTTTTCTGATTTATTTTGCTTAGCATAAGCCCTTCCAGCTCCATCCATGCTGCAGCAAATGGCACGTTATCTTTTACGATTACTGGGTCGTGTTCCACTGTGTGTGTGTGTGTGTACCACAGCTTCTTGATCCATTCATCTGTTTTGCAGTGTTTAAGTTGCTTCCACATCTTGGCTATTGTAAACAGTGCTGCAGTGAACATAGGCATGCAGGTTTCCTTTGGAATCGCTGTTTTTGTGTCTTTGCCGTGGTTTCCTAGGCTGGAGTCTCTTCTGTTCTGTGGCCTGCTTGCAGTTTTAAAGGTTGTCCTTTTGATCAGCCCTCTTCTTCGCTGGAAGCTGGGGCCTTTCCCAAGCCTTCCAGAGAAATCGCATTGGCCCGAGGTAATGACTAGACGTTCTCCCGGGTCTTGAACAGCCGTTAGCTATCTTTTTCTCTCTCCAAGGACTCACATAGGAACTATCTTTGACTTTGGAGGCCTGTCATGACTAGTCAACTTAGCTTGTTATTTGAAACAAACAGTAGATAAGTGAATGCACCTTGTGGGTCCCAGTAAAACTTGCTGCTTGCTACGTGAAGACATTTGAATTGCCTGTACTTTTCACAGCCGGAAAGCATTCTTCTGATTTTTTTTTTTTCTGCAACCATTTAAAAAGATAAAATCGCCTTTAACTCCTTGGGGGCTTCAAAACAATCAGTGAAGCGGGTTTGCCCGGTGGGTCTTAGTCTTGGGCGGAGGTCACTGTTTTTCTGCAGCCAGTGACCCCTCCAGCTGTTGAAACTGTCCTGTTACCTTTATCTTCCCTGGTGTCCACGTAGACACTGGCCCGGGCCTGCGCGTGGCCCCTTCCCGCTCGCTCTTCCCTGAGCCTCCGGGAGCCTCATGCCAGCTGACCCCTGCCAGCTGTCCCTTTGTGAAGACTTCAGCGCTGGTGGAACGAACCGCTCGCTTCTCTTCAGCATGTCTTGGGCATCCTGAGGTCACTTCTGCATCAATTTTCAAAGCAGCCAGTCACAGTCTTCCAACACCATTGGGGTCTTGGTTGTGGCCTTTGGTCTTGAGTTCGGGTAGGAAAGTTACCTCACAGTTCTAAGTCTCTCAGACATGGACATAGTTAAACCTCCCTTCTTGCACTCTTCTTCAGTTTTTCTGAATAAGGTCTTGTCATTTTCTAAGGGTCTTTGTGTTTTTTTGATGCTATTATAAATGGCAGATTCAGACTTTCTAATTTCATTTTAAATTTTGCAGCTGCCTAGAGAAATGCAGTTGACTTTCTTCTTCTTTTGTAAAAGTGGTGAAAAGAAGAAAAGCCAAATGATATGTCAAGCAAACTCAGCCACTGAGTCCCCAACCATGAGCGCGTGGCCTCACCCCACCCATCCGTGTGCACACGTGTGCCGGGCCGGGGACACGGGATCGGGCCAGAACACGGTCTGTGACCGCCCCGGTTCGCTGCGCGAGGCTGGACCCCACTTACCTGAGCCTCGCTCAGTGTTGGAGGGGAGATTGCTTGTGACCTCTGCTGCTGGAGGAACAGCTTCGAGGACGCGCTTGTATGTGAATGTCTGGGAGCGCTTTCTCCACGCGGCATATCAGGGCTCAGCTTTCCCAAAGCGGTTGGCACACGCCCTCAAAATGTGTCCCCCGAGCCTCCCCACTGGCTGTGTGTGGTGTCCACAGGGACTCGCACCCCCACTTCCTCCTCGGGCCTCAGGAGAAGGGCCACGGAGGGAGCTCCATGTGTGTGAGGCCCTGCCCTCAGCCTCAGGCCGCCCTCCCTGACCCTCCCTCTGCTGCCAGGGCTCCCTGAGGGGTCTGCCCAGCCCCGGGATGAAACTCCCCAGCCCTCAGACGTTTTCTCTGGTAGTTCTGGGGGCTGGGAGCGTGAGTTCCCAAGGGGGTTGTTTCCTCCTGAGGGAGAGTCCGTTGCTGACCTCTCTCTCGGCTTCGGTGGCTTCTGGCAGCTTCAGGCGCCCCTTGGTGGGTGGTGGCCTCACTCGGTCCTCACACTTCCACCTTGGTGGCATCGTCTTTGCTGCATCACCTCAAAGACGCTGCTTCCAAACATGATCATGCGCACAGGGACTGGGGCTAGCTCAGCCGGCCGCACGGGGCGGGAGGGCGGCCCCAGCCTTCTGGGGCAGGCGGTCTGCATGTGTCTGTGGGGGCCAAAGCTGTGCACAGGCGCCGCAGGGACCCGGCCTGCGCCCCGGCGCCCGGGCAGGCAGGCCCGTTCTCGGCCGTCTGGAGCCCTCCCTACTGTCTGCACAGGGGCCTGCCCACTGACCGCTACATGTGGAGCGACGCCTCGGGGCTGCTCGAGTGCACCAAGGCCAACACGAAGCCTCCATCCCTGCAGTGGGCCTGGGTGAGCACCTGCTGCCCCTGGGGGTGGGAAGGGCGTGGGGGTCCAGCACACTGACCCGCCCCTCCCCCAGGTTTCTGACTGGTCTGTGGACTTCAGCGTTCCTGGGGGCACTGACCAGGAGGGGTGGCAGTACGCCAGCGACTTCCCCGCGTAAGCATCTTCTCTCGACGCGGGGGCCTAGGGCTGGTCTGCGTCAGGCCTGGTTTGTGGCCCAGCGACCCCGTTTTCCCTGGCAGCTGGGGGCCTCTGCTCCTCCGCCCTCCCCCGTAGTCCCCTCCCACAAGTCCTCCGATGAGCAGACCCCTGCCCGCACACCCTGCTGCCAGCAGGGCTTGGGCCCAGCGGGAGAGGTGCGCAGGGCCCCAGGTGAGCCGGAGCCCGGGTGGGCGCGCAGCCGGCCTCGGCGAGTGGGCTCAGGGCCGAGCGTCACGGCTCCCTCGGCACGAGGCTGTGCTGGGCGTGGGCTTCAAAAGGGCCGGGGGTCCCGGAGCCTGGCGCAGCTTGGAGGAGCTTTAGGCCAGGCCTTGGCTGAGGGGTGAAGGGGCAACTTGAACACCCCATGGAGTGAGCCCCGAGGGGGGTGGTGTCGACAGTGGTGATGAAAGGAGGGGCTGACGGACTTGCAAAGCTGTGGGGTCCCGTGGGGCTGGAGGCGCCTGCAGGCTGAGGACGGTGTCCTGTGACACCTGCAGCCCCGTCAAGCCCCTCCCGGCTCTCACGGAAGCTCGGTGCCCTGCGACGGGTGGGAATGAGTGTGCGTGTTCAGCTTCCCTGGCTGGAGACCGCATGGAGTCTTCATTTCAGCTTCTTCCTCTTGCAGCTCATACCACGGGTACAAAACCATGAAGGATTTTGTCAGGAGACGATGCTGGGCCAGGTAAAGAGCGAGCTGGGCCGAGGTGGGTCGGGCCTCCGCTGCTGCCCCCAGGCCTCCAGCGCCTCCAGCCGCTTAGCTCAGGAGGGAGAGGTGGGCGGGAAACCAGAATCAAAGTAAATGTCAGCCCAGGAAATGCCGGCGGGCTCCCAGCGCTCTCCAGTTTCTGAAGAGTTTGTTTTCTAGAACAAATAAGAGAAATGTCATGGGCAGGCCCTGCGATGCAGGCCCTTTTTTCACACTCAAGGGGAGGGGAGCAACCCGGGTGCTTTGGGGACTGGCTGCGGTTCCCCCAAGACCTGGATATCCTCTCTGCAGCCTCCCACATCTATGCCAGGCAGCCCTGGGGCTCCAGTCCCACTGTGGCTCACGGGGTTTGTTCTCTGTCCCCTGTACAGAAAATGCAAGCTGGTGACCAGCGGGCCCTGGCTGGAGGTCGCCCCCATTGCCCTCGGGGACGTGTCCATCATCCCAGAGAGCCCAGGTGCCCACGGGAGTGGGTACAGCATTGCCCTCTGGGCCATCAGTGACAAGGGGGATGTGCTGTGTCGTCTGGGGGTGTCCCAGCTGAACCCTGCGGTGAGCACCTTGCCCCTACGGTGGGCATCGCCACCCTACCCACCCTCGCAGCCCTCAGGCCCTCCTGGGGTTCTGGCACATTCTTCCAGAAATCAGACACTTGCTGGGGACCAGGCTGGGCTTGGACTTTCGCAGCATGGCCCTGCACGTGGCCCGAGGGGGGCACTGGGCTCGGTGGGCACTGGAGCTGAGAAACGAGGTTGACAAAGGGGTCTGCTAGCTCGGGGGGCCGGGGGAGGCCAGTCTGAGCGTCCCTCCTCGCCTGTCTCCAGGGCTCCTCTTGGCTGCACGTGGGCACTGACCAGCCCTTCACCTCCATCTCCATTGGGGCCTGCTACCAGGTGTGGGCCATAGCGAGGGACGGCTCCGCATTCTACCGGGGCTCCGTGTCCCCCTCCCAGCCGGCCGGTGAGTGCCGCCCCCTGGAGGCTCCGGCCTGCTGTGTGGGGCCGGAGCCAGGTTGCCCCGCTTCCTCCAGGGAAGCTGGTCCACAGGGCTCCACAGCTCCACAAACATTTACTGAACCCTGCTGTGGGCCAGGCACTGGGCCCAGCGCGATGCTCCCCAGTGTGCCCTGCCGCAGGCACTGACTGGGTGCCCGCCCGGTGAGGGGTGGCCCCTCGAAGCTGCCCTGGCCCGGGTATTGCTGGGGGGGAGGGGACTTTGCACATGTGGCCCTCAGAGGACAAGCCTGCAGGTCCTCTGTCCAGGCAGCTCCTCCCGGGGTGACCCCACACTGCCCACTCCACAGCGTCTGGCCTGGCTGCCCAGGCTGAGCTGGCTTGTGCTTCCCTAGATGTCTAGACAGTGGCCACCGCGGGGGAGGCAGGTACAGGGATGGGCTGGTGGGGCTCCCACAGCCGGCTCCCCGCCACACCCGGGCCGGGCTCCTCCCCTCCCTGCTTGCAAGATCGGCCTGTCCAGCTGCACGGTCTAGGCGAGGCCTGGGTGCTGGGAGCAGCAGGCCTAGGTCAGCGCCGCTTGACCTCAGCTCACGGTGGGAACCCCCACCGGTGGGGCAGCAGGCCTGGGGCTGGGCCAGCCGCCCCGACCCTGTGAGCGGCAGCAGAGCCTCAGCTGTGCCCCACTCCTGTTGCAGGCGATTGCTGGTACCACATCCCGTCTCCCCCAAAACAGAAGCTAAAGCAGGTATCTGTGGGACAGACGTCGGTGTACGCCTTGGACGAAAATGGCAAGTGACCACCAGGGGAGGTTCAGGGGTCCCTGAGCCCCCTGATGGGGGGTGAGACCTTCACCTGCCCCAGGTCCCTAAAGGGGAGCTTTGTGAGTTAGCAAGACAGGCCCCCAGCCCGAGGTCAGCCTCTGCCTTGGTCCCCCTTCCAAGACTCAGGGACAGGCTGCTCTGGGAGGCTTCTGGAAGGCACCTCCCAGCCCTGGGCCCGCGTCCCCGGGAAGCAGGAGCTGGCAGAGGCGGCCAGCTTGCTCCGGCCATGCCTGCCCCAATCCTATGCCACCTGACGCGGGGTCTCGCCGCCCCCCACTGTTCTTTAGTTGTTTCACAGATGAGCAAGACCAGACAGGCCTGGGGACAAAACCCAGGGCTGCAGTCCAGACCCCGCCGTCCTTATTTGTCTAAAGAATTCCTTGTCCCCGGTTTCTCATGCGTAGAAAGAGGACCAGGCTGCCAGCCCCACCCGGTGGACAGTGCAGCTGGGGCCAGGAGCGAAGGGCAGAGGCAGCTCTGCTGTGGCTGTGCCTGGGAAGAGGGGCCCAGAGCGTGGTGCTCTCGAGCCTCACGCCGTGTGTCCTTCTCTCCCCAGGGAACCTGTGGTACCGCCAGGGGGTCACACCCAGCTACCCGCAGGGCGCCAGCTGGGAGCACGTGTCCAACAACGTGCGCCACGTGTCCGTGGGGCCGCTGGACCAGGTCTGGGGGGTGGCAGGTGGGGGGGCGGGTGCTCACCCTGGGGTTCGGGGACCCGTGGAGCCGGGGCTCCGGCTCTGGTCTCCCCGCCGCGACCTGAGCCCGGTCCCAGCAGGTCTGCCTTCCAGGTCTGGGTCATCGCCAACAAGGTCCAGGGCAGCCACAGCCTGAGCCGGGGAACTGTGTGTCATCGCACAGGCGTGCAGCCCCACGAGCCCACGGGGCAGGGCTGGGACTACGGTATTGGGGTGAGCGGACAGGCCAGGAGGGGCCTTGCTGGCCTGGGGCTGTGCGGTCAGCCGCTGTGCTCGCCTACCTGGGGTGTGGCCTCCAGGTTGGTGGAGGCCCCTGTACAGCTCCAGGGAGGGTGGGGGGCTGTCTCTGGAAGCTTGGTCTCTACCCCTTCACCCCAACCTCCTGGTGACAGCACTGTCTCCTTCTAGGGGGGCTGGGATCACATCTCCGTCCGGGCCAACACCACCAGGGCCCCCAGGAGTGCTTTGCCGGAGACAGCCGGAGAGCAGAGTGGGGAGCAGAGCCTCCCCCGTGGGCCCGCGGAGGCGGTCGGCGCCCCGCGGGAGAACCTAGACCCCGTGTGCTGCTGAGGCCACCTCCCGTCACCTGGAAGCAGGTGTGGCCGGGGTGAAGGACCGCGTCTGAAGGATCACGCAGCACGCCACTGCAGACTCGCGCCCAGGGCAGAGGCAGGCGGGGGCCTGGCCGGAGGTCGCGCACCTCGGGGCACTGGGGGGAGCAGCCCGGAAATGTGAAGCTCTGTGGACTTGGAGGAGTCCCGGGGGGCGTGGGTGAGGACCCTTCACCCCAGCCTTGGCTCCCCCTCTACCTCCTGCCTTTCCAGGACGGGAGCCTCCTAGGGACGGCGCCACCAGGGGACATTTGAGCCAGGAGGCCTCTCCCTGAGCCGTGATGTCCCCGGACAGCTCCCACAGGAAGGAGCCTGGGCACCACGGCCTTTGGTCATGTTCAGAGGGGGGCTGGCAGTTGGAAACACACACTGCAGGGCGGCGGCTCCTTCCCGCAGCTGGGAACCTGCCAGGGTCTGCGGAGGAAGAGGCTGGGAGGCCGCCCAGGCCAGGGCTCTGCCCCACCTCAGGCAGCCTTGGTGGGAGGGAGGGCCCCTCTCCCTGATGACCCGGAGGTGAGGCAGGAGGCTGCACCTTGCCGTCACCCTGGGGTAGGAGCCATGGCCTGCCGCCGCCAAGCACTTCCCCAGCCACTGGCTCCCTCTGCAGCTCTTCTGCTGCCTGTTCCTGCCAGTGGCCCTGCTGGCTGAACCCGCAGCTTGAGGCTGCGCCAGCTGCACCAGCCGCCCCTCCTGGCCCGGGCCCAGGCCCACCTGGCTGTCTGGAGACTCGGCCAGCCTTCCTGACCTCCCGACGGGTGCAGGTGGGGGCTGGCAGCTGCACTCTGGGCGTTTGTCACCCAGAAGCTGACCCTACGGGTGGCCTCCCTGAGCCACCCCCTCCCAAGGGGCATCATGGGAGCCGGTGAGGCATTTTCTGGGGGGTGGGGGGAGACCAGGAGGCCCTGGGTCTGCAGAGCCCGGACATAACTGAGGCGGGGTGACACTCCAGTTCACAGCTCAGCAGGTGCTCAAAAGGGCCTGGGGAGCGGCCTGCCGGGTGGTTCTGCCGACTTCCATGGGTGGCTGGCTCACCGCCCTTCCTCAGGGCCACCCTGCCCTCTCGCCGCTGAGCACCCACTGTTTATTTGCTCAGCATCACCCAACCATCTCCATCTGTCAGATGCTTTATTCAGTAAAAGTTGACGCAGAGTGTGGTGCCGTGACAGTTTATTGCTACATTACGGTTAAATGTGCAGTCCCAGGGACACTGGGCACGGGGCAAAAGTAGCAATCCCATGGAATCTTTTTCGTTTCATGACAGCTTGTTTCATTTAGTACTTTGAAGGGACCATTAGGAGAAATACAAGCCAATTTGGGCCACTTAAGGAGCATTTTCACCGCAATTACGGCCGGGCGCTGGCCGAGCAGGCCCAGGTCGGCTTCCGGGCCAGGACGCGGCAGTTCTGGCTCCTCTGCCTGCGTGGCCGGGCTCTCCACCCCTCGCTCGGTCGGTTCCCAGCGGGTCCTCGTCCTGCTGCAGGCCAGGAGGCTGGGCTTGGCGAGTGGGACTCACCCGCTTGTGCGGTGCTTCTAGCAAGGGCAGGAGCTCCTGGGACTGAGGAGCCCAGCCTGGACTTGGGGGTGCACACGGAGAGTAGTGGGAGCCGGCCAGGGTGTCCCCTCACCTCCCTGCTGCAGAGGTGGGAAGGAAACCATGACAGGTCCTTTATGGTGTGGCCACAGGCTAGGGCAGATGCCCGGTGGCCATGCATGAAGGAGGACTGGGCTTCTGGGCAGTGGCCACCCTCTGGAAGCAGGAGGGCCAGGTGCCAGGGGGGTGGCGCTCAGCTCTCCTGCCCCACCCTCCACCACCCCAACAGCCCTTGGCCAGTCCTTGGGCACGGTCTGGACAGAGCCACCACTGGCCAACCCTCCCCGAAGTCCAGCCCAGTCAGTTCATTCAGCAAGACCACAGACTCACCGGGTCCTGCTCTGGTCACAGCTCAACCAGACAACACCAGGCTTGGAGGTCTTCACCTCCGGTGTCCCGACCCGGCAGGTCCCCCAGGTAGGGGTGCCTGGACCCCATCTGTCCCGCGGTCGGCGTCGCCTCAGCCTCGGTTCCAATGGTGGGTTCCCCTGACCACTGCCCTTCCAGAGCCACCAGCCCTGAGGGCCGGCCAGGAGGCAGGGCCAGGCCAACCTCCCCAAGCAGCGGGGCCCTGGCCCCAAGTGCTAGCTCAGGGCTGGCTCCGGTCTAGCAGCCCATGTGCCAGGCCCACTCCCCCAGCACTGGGGATTCTCTTGCCCAAGGCTGCCAGGGCCCTGTCCCTTCCCATATTGGCTGTGGCAGAAGGATGAGAGCGGGGAGGTGCCAAGGGGGCTGAGAGAAAGTCGCCAAGCCTGTCGGAGCCAGCAGGGCAGGAACATGAACAGAAGGAAGCTTGGCCCCGGGCGGCAGGGCCCTGCCAAGCTGTCCGGTGTTGCCATTAAAAAGCAGCACCCAGGCGGGGGAGGGGAGCTCCTGCCACCCCCAGGTTCTTGTTTGCAGGGCTCCCCCAAACCAGCCAGGATGCAAGAACATCCTAAGGTCCTATCACATCACCGTTGTCATATGTGTGACCGGCCATGACCGTGAACAACACACCTGGGTGGAACCCCAGGCAGCACCGAGCACAACCTCCCCCTCGGTCTTTCTGAGGCCCTTGCAGCCCTCACCCCGAACCCCAGAAGGCTGGAGCCTGTCTCCAGCCCCTCAGCACCAGGTTGCAGGTCCTGCCACCCGACTCAGGCTCCAGATAGTCAGGAGGGAGGAAAGCGCCTGCCTCCTCCTTCAAAGTCAACCTGCGGCCATACGATCAGGGTTTCTATCTGCCAGTTGCTGACCTGGACGCTGCAACCGTCTCAGCCTGGTCACATTCCTGGCTCGGCCATGGGCTTTGCCTGCTCCATGCCTCAGTTTACCCTGAATGAGGAGGCTGAGTCGGGCCCCATGTAATCCCACTGTGCTGGTTGAAGGAGGCTCTCTCCCAGGGCCTTAGGGAAACTCACCCACGTAAAGCTTTTCCAAAGCTTTTCCCAGAATCTCCCCGGGCCCAGAGGCGTCGGGGTGGAGAGCAGTTACAAGGCGAAGTCCCCCCCGGCTGCCTGGTTGATTAAAAGGCCGGGCCTGGGGCCCTCGCGGAGGCTGGGCCTCCTGCTGCGGATGATCCGGGGACCAGGCTGTGCTCCAGGGAGGCCGCTGAGTTGGAAAATGGAGCCGCTTGGGCCGTGTCCATGTGGGGCAGGGGAGCAGGCCGGGCTGCAGCTGGACCCCGGCCTGATGCTAGGAGCCCTCGCGGAAGCTGTGGATCTGCGTGGAGTACCTCTGCAGGTGGCCCTCGGGCTGGGCCTCGGTGGCGCCGAGCACACCCCCCGCTGCCTGCTGCTGCTGGTAGTGCTGGTAGAGCTTGGGGCCCGGCCCGTCCAGGCCCGGGAGGTGGCTGCTGGACATGGTCAGGATGGTGGCGGTCAGTGACTTGATGTAGTTCTTGGCCAGAGTGAGCGTCTCGATCTTGGAGAGCTTCTTGTCGGCCCGCACGTGCGGGATGACCTCGCGCAGCGCCTGGAAGGCGTTGTTGAGCTTGTGCATGCGCTGCCGCTCCCGCTCGTTGCTCTCCAGCCGGCGCTGGACGCTGCTCTCCCGGCGGCCGCCCGGCCCGGAGGACCCCGGTCTCTTGCGCCCGCCCTCGGCCCGGAGCCCCTGGGCCCGCGTCGCCCTGCTCCGCAGACCCTTGGTCAGCTCCGGCCCGGGGCCCGGCTGCGGCCTGTCGGGGGTCCGCTCCTGCGGGGTGGTCTCTGTGTCCTGCGGTGGCGCCCGGCGCCTGGAGGGCCGGTTCTTGGTCTTCATAGCGCCAGGCTGGTTGTCTGGCAGGGTGGTGGCTCCGAGGGGGCTTTGGAGCTGAAATACAGAACATGGGTCACCCTGTGGTCACCTGGCAGTGACAGGTGGACATTCAGGTTAGCTACCCAATGGCCGCCGACCCCTCGGTGCACAGTGACCCCGGGGTCCTTCCTATCACCACGTGAGCCCTGAGTTGACCCCATGAGATCCTGTGGCCCTTTTTGGCTTCACACTGACCCCTCCGGCCCTTGTCTGATCTGGTAGCTCCTTTCCCCTTGGGTGACAGACTTGGGTCTTTCTCTGGCTCTAGCTCATCATTGCCTCCCCCGCCCCCACCGTGTGTCCACGGAGCCCAGGTGACCTGAATCAGACCCTTTGCTCAGACCACCTGACTCACTGGAGGCAGCTCTTCTGCCCCCCGAGGCTGTGCAGCCTCCTGCTTGCCCCAGTGGACAGACAGGCAGCTCCAGCACCACACTCTTTGCCTAGCCCTGCCCTTGGGAAGGTCCACATGCAGGGACGACAGACACTGAGGCCAAATCTCTGCGGACATGGGCAGTGGTCAAAGGGCAGCGATCAACAGTTGACCAAGCCTGCAGGGTCCCCAGGCCCTCCTCGTGCATCATTACCCCCCTCCAGGACCCACTGGAACCCCCACCCCCAGTTACCTGGGGATCCGCGGCTGCACGCGCCCAGCTGCCCACGGGGGACAAGGACACGTCGCTTTAGGCGTCCCGGGCGGGGCCGGCCGCATGTAAATGAGCTCGCGGGGCGGGGCGGGGCGGGGGCGGAGCCGGTGTCCGGGTCTCCGGCCCCGCGGGCCGCGAGGGGAGGGGGCGGTGGCGCACCTGCGGGAACCGGGCCAGGCCCGCCGGGCTCTCCGGCCTCCGGGGGCTCCGGAGCCCATTCCGCAGACTGCGAGAGTGAAGACTGTAGGAGCCCACCGGGCGGCGGGGAAGCCCCGGACCGCACTGGCTTCCTCACGTGGCCTCGGGTTTAAGGCTCCTGATAGCGACCGAGAAAGCGAGGAATTCACGGAATAGCCGTTTTGCCATACTACTGGTTTCTGAATGGGCAGCGACCACATCCTTTTAGAACAGCGGCCCAGGTGCCCCGTGCCCCGCGCCCTCGCCCGCCGTTTCCGGCTGACCCCGCAGCAGCCCCAGCGGGGGGACCTCCCCCACCCCGCCGGCCAGGTGCGAGTGGGCGTGGCCCGGGAGGCCTTCCAGCCCCTGCGGGGCAGCGGGCAGAGCTGGGCACCGCTTTTAGGTTTTTAGGGCAGAAAGCAGACGGCCAGGGCTCAAAACCGACTCTACCTACTTGCTTTTATTCAATCACCCCGCCCAGTTTCACCTTTTACAGGAGCACTTTAGGGTGTTGAGCTCAGAGGCTCTTGGTGGAGTGGGGTGGGTGGGTGGGGATGGGAGACCCCTGGGTGCAGGGAGCGTCCGCGTGGCACAAGGGTGGGTGCTCTGTGCTCCCACTTCTGCCCCGCAGGTCCAGGAGCAGAGGAGCTGCACTGCACTGCCGGGCTTCTCTGGCATTACCACCTGCTGCCTGTCTGTGGGCTCTCAAAACCGGGCTTCCCCCCCCTCCCTCGCTGCAAGGCTGCCAGGCCTGTATTTGCAGGAACCGGTTAACCATCGTCTGCTAGTCTGACTAGAGGGTGGACTGAGGCTGTGGGCCATCAGGTCCACCCTCTGCTAGTCTGAGCTGATTAACTTCTTGGCTTAGTGCTCATTTGAGGATGAAACCCAAAAATTATGCTAACCATTCATCACAGAGGCTTTGAACTTCAGATATATTTTAAGGCAGCACAAATGCTTTATAAAAGTTTGGCTTTCCTATGCAAATCTTGTTCGCGGGAGTGTGGAGGATTTAAGTGGGGGATGGAAACTGGCTTCACAAAGCTACAGACCATGGCAGTGAGGAACCCCCACAGCAGCCTGCCAACGCCCACGGCAGGCCAGTGCCAAGCATCGGCTCCAGGCCTCAAGCATTGGAAAAACATAAAACGGCAACTGAATTTATAAATATATAACTATATTTATTTTGAATATTAAATAGTTTTTAAATTACAAGCAATTTATTGAATCACACTATGCATCAATATACAGTAAAAATCTTACAATTTAAAAATGTACACAATTTAAACTGAAAGTTCATTAACTGTTGTATTGCCGTGAACCTCTTACAGCTGTGTTAAAACGCAACAGGGGAACCTCAGTGGTGTGAATGCCCCATAGATCTTCCATTCTGGGATGGGATTAAAACAGTGGGCACACACACCAGTCCATTAAGATCTATCTAAGCCTGCGTGGACTCAAACAACCTGAAAGAACATGTTCAAGCCATCCAAATAACAGGTTGTTGGTTATTGCAATACTGCCAACACATCTTTTAACAATTTACTTACATCCTAAAGAGAATTTTTCCTTTTTTGATAACCAGAAACTGAGCCAGACCCATTGCCACTGACAAATATTTAAGTATTTGTCAGATATTCAGATCTAAATCTGAAGTGCCTGCACACACCTGCTCTTATTTTAAGGCTAGTTATCTTGAAGCTCTTATAACTTCATGAAGCCTAACATTTGGAGCCTAACACTTGGGTCACTTTTGGAATTTTTGGGTAAGGGGCTGAACAGAGTAAAGCTAGGAGTCGCCTTCCTTGTGCCCCAGGCCTCATGGCAGATAGCAGTTAAGTCACTCACCCTACAAATACCCTCTGGGAAGCCGTAAAGAAAGGAAGAGATTTTGAAAGGCCTTTAAAGGCAGCAAGACAAAGATTTTTTCTTAGATAAACTTACTTGGCAGAAACAGTTACCTGTACATTTACACACAGAGTGAACTGTTTTGCTTCTGGAGCGCTCCCTCGAGAACCAAGTCTTAACGAGCACAGCCCCAGTCTCGGGTTTGGAGAGCACTTTTCTACATTTGTCTTTCTGGCTTATCACGGGGTCATTTGGTAACACAAATTAACATTTAGCTAGTTAGGAAATGAAAGTTAGATTACATTTATCATAAAATTTAAAATAGGTAAACACCACCAAAGTAAGACTAATGAAAATCTGATAGATTCCCAAAAAGGCCTGAAGTGTCACTGAGCTATGATAACCCTTCCCCAGATTATCTAGAGAGTTCCACTGATTCATTTCATTGCATAACTCATGAGAACAAGTTTGAAATCGGCTACTGGTAACCAACTTAGTAAAAAAAAAAAAAAAAAGGAATCAAACAACAAAGCACATGCTGACATTTCAAAAATGGGCTGAAAATTTTAATCTACATAATTTATTTCCTGTGTATTGCTTGAGATTTCAAAAGAACATGTTAACTCACATGTTGATAAATATAAAACCTTCCCTACCAGGCAACACCACAGTAATTACTACTCAACCCCACCCCCCATTCAATGTATAAAATGCTTTTTTTGGCAATTTATTATGAGAGCAATATAGATTTAAATTAAAATGGGAGTTATGCTGTTAAAATCTCCTTAAATATAGTGGAAAATGTACAGTCCCAAAAGACCAACATATTTACCTCAGGCTGACTGTTTAAGGAGACTGTACATCCTATCGATCTGCTTGATTTTAATCATTAAATCTGAATGCCTTAAGCCTATAATTTGAAAAACTGCTATAATCGCCTCTCAATTTCTTTTTCAACCAAGACTGACAGTTAGCTGTAAAAATTCAGAAAATTCATGAAGTCTCCTTAGCAAGAAATTCAGCTATAACAATTTTGGCAATGCCCTGTTGACTTTTTTTCCCTAATGCCCTATTGACTTGTTTTCAATATGCACATCACAAAGTCCAGCTCTCTGGCACTGCTGTCCTGGCTGTGAGAGGGGACTCTTTCTCCATTTGGAATTTTCTTGACTGTAAAGTTATTGCTATATATAAAGTTAGAGGAGTGAACCAGAACTGATCACAAAGGTCGTAATTTGCTACGTAAACTCGAGCCAGTATTCTCATTTGCAACTTGTGTTAGGACCCGAGTTCCTGTGACTTCCATCATGCGCTCCAGCCTGGGCCTACGGGCTCATCCTAGTGTGACACTCGAGTCAGGAAAGCAAATCAGCACCGGAACATTTGGGGTGAAGGTCCAGGGTATGGGGACCACAGACCTGAGGTCCCACCTAGAACAAACGGCTTCATGACAGGCATGCAAGCCTCCTCAGCACAGTGCCATTAAGCGGCTCTCGCCCCTGGAGAGAGCCAAAGTGGAACTCAAGGACGGCAGAATGAGGTCGGCTTTTTATTACGAACACCTGATTCCTGTCAACATTGTGCAGCTGCACCAGACAAGCTTGGTCACTTTCAAAGCAAGGGAAACACTTGGTGCTTATGCAGAGGGGGAAGGGTTAGTGCAGATGGTGTGGGCAGGGTCTGGTGTGACGGCCACTTTGGGCTGCCCAAGGTCCTGGTGAGGAGAACAGACCAACTGTGGAGGCTCCACTTCTGTCCTTCCTCACAGCGGTAGGCTGCAGTGAACTCTATGGTAACAGGGAAGTCACACCTGGACATAACGGGGCTTGGAGTGGTTCCGAGGGGAAATGCAGCCATGGAGGTTATTTCACAACTCAAATTGTATAAATAGGACAACTCAAACCCGCCCTCCTTGGCTACCACAGCACTCTGCGGAGCATCTTCCTCTGACTTCTCTATCTGCTAGCAGGAAGGAGGTGCGTGGCCACAGCTGTCCATGTTTTAAGAACCGGCTTTAAGGGGAAGTGACTTGGGGGCCACATCCTTTGCCAGAGTCCAGGAGGGACAAAGGGTGCTTGGGCCCCCAGGGAGAATAATCAGGGGGTCACACATCCTAACCCACAGCTCCGTTCTGGGGCCCACTGCCTGTTGAGAACTTTAGAAAATTGGGGGGTGGATAGGAGAATCACACAGAGGGGCTGCAAGACCCTTTAGCTCCTCAGAGAGCCTCATTTGCTATAGAGAGAAAACACAAAATGTATTTCATCCAATTGACAACAGAGCAATCTTTTTGGACTCATCAAAAATATTTCCTATAGGAACATAAAACACTAATATTCAGAATCATTTATCATTTACGAAAGAGTACCATATGTACAATTCCAGCAACTCTAGAGACAGCATAACACTCAAAATATTTAAGCTTTACAAGTACCATGCAGAGCAAACAAACTATAAAACAGGAAGGAAAAAAAAAATCAAACTAGTGGATAGCACCAGCTTGACCTGCCTTAGTTTCCTTGAATAATTTAAGATTCTGTACACTATCAGGGACTCTTAGAACATTTATCCACAGTGCAATTACAGAAAGCAATTAGTGATTTCTTTGAAAATAATAAATATGGCTCACTGGTGCCCATCCCTGGTCATGCGTCCTCCGGGCCGTGCACAGACCAGGATGCACAACGTGGACACAGAGAACACCCCGCATGGAAATCAGAAACAGTCCCGAGCCTGCAGGCGGCAAATGCCAGAGCGAGGCGGGCACGGCCCTGGCCGGCTGAGCGTGGCACGTCCCCGGTGGGAGGCTGGCTGTGCACACTATGCCGGGTGGACTGGCCTCCAGTGGGCCTCCCACACGGGCGCCTGGCCCAGCGCTGCTCCTTTCCGTTCCCTGGTCTCTGTCCCATCTCGGCAGGTGGCGAGTGCATGTCGTTGCTTGGCTGGCAGCGCAGGAACACCGCTGGGAGGGGGGAGCAGCCAGGGACCCCAAGAGTGCTTGAGCATCCACCTAATCTTTTTCTCCATCTTCACTGCTTCCTATTTTGGAAAGAGCAAGCAAAACTGGGTTTTAAAATGATCACCACAGATATAAATAGTCTAGCCAGCATCTGTTCTCTGTGCAGAAAAGGGAACTGAAGCTAGAAGTGCGGCTGTCCACCACCTGGACAAGCGGAGCGCTTTTGTCCTCTAACAGTGGCACCTGCCAGACTCTGGAGAACACAGCTGCTCGGCTCACACGCCGGGTCAATGCCAGCGCTGGGGCCACGGGAGAAAACCAGCTCTGATGTTCCTCTGACCAACCTTTAGGTACCGGGCGTTATCTAATCGGTGCAATTAAACATAGCTCAAACACAAATAAAAGCTCTTTATATTTCATAGTTATTTGATCAGCAAACTTCAAATAAAAAATGTGCCTATTAGCATTTATCTTTCAATCTACTTATGGGGAAAAAAAGGATCCATAAGTTCAGATAACACAACTTCAAATGTGCCCTGCTCATAACTTCCCACCAGATCTCTGGTATCACAAAGACCAGGACTTAATGGCAAAATCAACATTCCTAGGGAAGAACCAGAGCACATTTGGGCTCAATCCTCAACTCTTGGGGCCAAATGTTCCAACAGCATAAACTTTCTTAAGAGTTTGTTTTCTTGGGCCCTCCCTAGTGGCATAAGGGGTTAAGTCTCATCACCATGAAGCTATCTGCAGCCACTGCAGCATGAGTTCGATCCCTGACCAGGGAGCTGACCCACAGGGTACAGCAGACCTCTCCTGTGTCAACCACTGCTCCCCTCAGCAGTGCATTTCAATCAATCTGTCTGTTCTGCTCTCCACTCTGTCTCTGGTGACTCCTTTCACCCCTGCACCTCTGGTCTACACCCCAGCTCCTTAAAAAGAAAAAAAAGAAAAGAAAAATTCACTAGGATCACTAGGAGACAGGAGAGATGGGACTGGGTCCCTAATTCAGATTACGACTTAAATCTTATGGAGAAAAAAAAACCAGGCAGAGACAAATTCTAGTGACCCAGAGCTGGACTCCACTTGTGTGGGTTGCCCAGACCCGCAGGCCACCTGCGGTATAATGAGCTTGTGGAGTAACGGAGCTCAACGGGGGACCTGGTCCCAAGTGCACACTGTCAAGATTCTGAGAATTTTGCAAACAAACAAATACCAGGACAGGTCAAACTAACATACGTTCAAGCCTGCAAGGAGGGTCACCAAGCTGACACCCACCCCCCGTGCACACGCTCTTCTCACCTCCCTGCTCGATGTCGGAGTCAGTGAGGTGTGTGAGAGAGAAGCTGGCAATGTTGGCAGGAGAGATGGAGAATCTGGAATACGGCGACGTGTGAGGCCAGCTCTGCTCCGCACTCCGGGGGGGTGGCGGAGGAGAAAAATACTTTGATGTCTGAAGAGAAGGCTTGGAACTAAGAAGATTACTTGTTGTCTTTGACATAAAAGGATCTGGGGAGAAGTCATCATCCCATTCAAAGCCTCCACCTAAACGTTAAAGAAAGAATTCTCCTGTCATCATTTCATGCTAAAGAACAGAGGTGAGCACAAGTGCACAGGTGTGCTGGGTAGAGCGACACACCCACTCGGATGGCAGATGGCAGAGCCGCTCACAGCTATCACGAGGGACCATTTAAAGCAACGTGTTCAATTGGCTTCAAAAAGTGTACAGTGTTCACAGGGCACCATCTCTTAGTCACTAAGAAGTGAAATACCTTCTTCATCAGTTGAACTCTCAGAATTTATGCACCTGCTCAGGTAAGGAGAACCTGACGAAGGTGCTGTGCTGCTTTGCTCAGGGCCATGAGCTTCTCCTCCACAGTGCCCCAGTTCCTTGGTTGGGGTCTCCTGAAAAGTCAAACATAAATTCCCATCAACAAGCGCCTGCTCCTGGGAACCTACAGATGTATACTGCAGCATGGCAGCTCCTCTCAGTGAGCAATGTTCATTTCTTAAACAGGTGGGTTCCTGGAGAGGGTGGAAAAGAAACACTGCCTTGTCTACCTACTGCATGCAGCTCTGGAACCTGGACAAAACACTACAATTCAAAGTACAATCAAGCCAGCAATAAGTCTGCTGCCCCTACACCCCCGAGGACTCAACACAGTCTGAAATCCAAAGTGAGCACTGGTAGGAACAGAGAACTCCAGAAGCCCTTTGGCTCTTGGTCTGGAAGCTGTAAGGGTCTTCTGAGCTCAGGGTAGAAAGAAAATTCCATGTTGGCTCTTTTTTCTGTTCTCTTGATCCCAGTCCCTGTCTGGCTGTCAGACACCTGCAATCCTGAGGGCTGTGATGCTTCATCTCCACTAGAGGAGATACAATCCCTGAGATTGAGGAGAGCCTCCCTTCCCTGCCAACTCATTGTTTTGTCTCTGTGTCCAAGACATCAGAAAGTACTGATATCACGGAGAGGAAGGAGCTTAGGAAAATGACCCCATAAAGTAGTCTGTGAGTTCCCAGTTTTCCCTCTGAGCTGTGCATGGCAGATCTGATCCTGCACAGCAACCCAAGTGCTGAGAGCAGAACTGCAGGGAGGCTATCAGTGGGCCTGGCATGAGCACAGGACAGGTTCACACAGGACAGCAAAGACTTTGGAAAGAGGGACTAACACTGCAATCCCAATCCATAGAAGACTCGTTAGAACTTAAACCTAAACCCAAATGGATCCATGCCCTAATATTAAGGCAAATATAACAACATTCTCCGCAGAATATAAATAATAAGACATATCACAAAACATAATAAAGATACACTCTAAAATTACTCTGCATACAAAGCATTGAGAAAACCTTAATTCACAGGGGGAAAAGACAAGTTAACAGATATGTTGGAATTACCTGAAAAAGACTTTTTAAAATTTTCTTATATTAAGGGTAAATATTTCTGAACAAAAATATAGAAAAAACTCACCAAAAGTACAGGTGATAAAAGGGATAAAAAATTTTCAAATTTCAGACTACTGAGACAATAAAAAACTAACTTTGAAAACTCACTGCACTGGACTCGATAGCAGAAGGGAGATGACACAGAAAAAAATAAATAAATAAGCGAATGTGAAGTATATCAACAGAAAACACCTGAACAATAGTAAGAATAAAAACTGGGGAACTGTGGGAAAGAAACAGACCTCAGGACCTATGGGACAAAACCATCAGATCTAACAATGGAGTCCCAGAGGAAAAGGAAACAGAATGAGGTAGAAAGTTATCTAAAGAAATAATGGCCAAAAGCATCTCAAGTTGGTAAAAGTCATAAAATTACAGATTCTAGAGGTTCAGCAAATCATAAATGGTATAAATATGAAGAAATTCATGCCCATAATTGAGAAATCATACTCATAATCAAACTACCTAAAACTAAAGATGAAGAAAAATACCTTGAAAGCAGTCAGAGATAGTGCTATGACAAAAATAGGTCAATGAGAAATCAATAGTCAGGGTAAATATCTTTAAGAAAATGAGGGTGAAATGAAGAAGATCCCAGATGGAGAGAAATTAAAAGAATTGTCAGATTTGTTAAAAGAAAAAAAGGCAAGCAAAAACAATACCAAATGAAACTTAAAACATCAAAAATGAGAGAAAGAAAACAGTAGTGACTATTTGGATAAATATAACACATGTCTCTTGAGTTTCTTAAAATACATTTTACTGGCAGTGAAGCCCTGTCTGATGGGTTTTCAATTAAGAGTATATAATACACTAAACAATTCAGATAAGAGGGGCGGGGAAAAGGCCGACAGAGTGGAATGGTTTCCACATTCCATTTGCAGTGGTAAAGTACTGCTTCCAAGTTACTGTGAAAAGTTATTTATATTGTATTCCCAAGAACCACTATAAAAATCTCTAAGATACATTGTAAAAACACAACAGTTAATACTAAAAAATGTTCAAATTGGCCCTCCCTGGTGGTGCAGCGGGTTAAAGCACTGCACTAAGAAGTTTAAGCCACTTAAGAGATGAGTTCGATCCCGCCTGCCCTGGAGTAGACCACATGGCCTGCAGACCTCTCCTGACCTCTCCCCTCAGCAGTGTACGTGGTCGATCTGCCTGTTCTGCTCCCCACTCTGTCCCTGGTGAATCCTCTCACCCTCCACATCTCTGACCTGTACCCCCAGTTCTGTATGAATAAATGAATCTTTAAAAAAAAAAAAAGTTAAAATTACCCAAACAAAGACATGAAAGAAAAATAAGAGCTAGCGGAATGAACAGAAATGATGGTCCCTCTTGGCGAATTAAATGAATTAAAATGAATTGAATTAATGAATTAAAATGGCACAAATCAGGCCCTCCCTGGTGGCGCAGCGGGTTAAAGCACTGCACTGAGAAGCTAAAGCTACTTCCGCATGAGTTCGATTCCCGCCTGCCCCGGAGGTGACCACATGGCTAGGCAGAACTCTCCTGACCTGCCCACTGCTCCCCTC